ATAAGTGTACAAAAGTGAATATTGTCGAGCTTTGCAAACCTCTAAATCAGTAAAAACAAACTTAGTTTCATATTTGCTTTTAATAAAGAGATAATGATGTAAGCTATGAGAGGCATGTGTTTGAAGGACACATGGCGCTGCCTGCCTCCAGTGCTGAGCACAGGATGGAGGGTTGCGATCTCATTCATGTGTCTTTTTTAAACATTCATAGCACAAACGCACCAGACTGACGGCCCAGGGTCCCAAATCCAGAAACCGTCCGAGCAGGTCCAGAGCACGCAGCCGGTGCACCTGACTCAGGAGGACCTGAAAGAGAGCAGAGGTCAAAGGTCGATGCTGCCGCCTCTGAACGGAGAGGAAGTCTAAGATTAAAGTAGCAGGAGGAGGAAGAACAAGAGGAGAAATGTTGTAGAGGTGCAGTAAAACAGGTGGCTCTCCCACCAGTGCTGCTAACACACTGGCACCAGATTTCACGAGTGGGCGGCAGGGTGCGTCCTCTTGGCTGCCATTTTATTCGAGATCTTACTGCGATACTGGTACGGGTAAATACCTGATTGGGCTTTGTTTCCTGCAGAGAAATTTTGGCAGCCATTTAAGCCCCAAAGGAAAATCCCCTCCCCCTTTTGAATGATGTAATTGGAATTCTTTTGTTGTTAATTGGGGTTTCATTCGAATTGTTTTTTGTTTGTTTTTTTACCAAAGAGACAAAAATAACAGGAACATGCACAGATTTCTGTCCAATAAACTCATTGCCTCTGTTGTATGCTGCGCTCATGCTTACTGCCGCGTGCAGTCAGCCCCACAGGCCGATTCTGAGCCAAGAAAAACCCAAAGCAACAGAGACGCCAAACGGGATCACGATGTAACGGTTTTGGCCAAGCAGAAGTATTTTAAGGATGCAAATGTTAAGCGCTAAAATTGTATGCGTGTATGTTTGGTTGGACTAACATTATGTGCAGTGTGCCACAAAGCCTGTGTGACGGCTGGACACTGGTCCATCCCCATGTGACCACCCTGCAGTGTGTGTGGGAACAAGCATATGGAGGAACCCAGGAATACACACCCACACACACACACATTTACACATTTCCAGGGAATCATAACGTATTAATGACTTCCTCTGTGCCTTCGACCCGCAGGGCGTGACCACAGAAACAGATCAGGGAAAGACCGGACCAGGGATGCCTTCAACTCTGAGGAAGTGTGTGGGAACAAGGAAGCGTGTGACGCAGGTGCGTGCTCTGCAGGAAGAAAAAAAGCCACCTGGCAAAAATACTAAAGAAATCCTCCTGATCTCGGTTTAAAGGAAAAAAAATCTCATTCCTCATCCAGTCCCCACCCCTTTCCCGATTCTCTATATATTTTTAGATGCATAGTCAGTGTAAAAATGGTCATAGCATGGTGACATCACCCACTAATTAGTGAAGTCTCATAATGAAGCCAGGAACTGAGCAATTTCCCCACCGCCATCTCTTTGGACGCGCGACGAATGAGCAGAATCTGCAGAAGGAACT